GATCTACTTAAGAAGGACTGTAAACCGTAAGCCTTTTAGCATCCCGGGGTTAAAGATTTGTGGGTTGGCGAGCCGCTATAGGGATTCCTTTGAGAAAGCCCCGGCTAATCTGCATTAAGCCCCCTTCCCCGGATTTAGGGTTTAGAGTTTAGGGCTTAGGCCTGAGGCTAAATTTTTTCCAAGGGTTTAGGATTCAGGTCTATTTGTGAGGGTTGATTTGATTTATTGGGTTGAGGTGGTTGGCCGAAAGGCACAAATTCCGGTTCAGGCGGCGCATGGATCCTTCAGGTTCCCTCATGCCCTATAGTTGCCCGCGATACTCGTACTACCCACAGAATGCCAGAGCCGCTTCATTGACCCACATGGGATTCTCCAACAACATTCTACATTAGATTCTACATTAATTAAGGGTCCAAGTACCTAATACTTATTTACTTACCGAAAACCTGCACTACAGCCAGAACTCAAGTACTTACCCTAGGGATCCATGTATGTAAATAATCCCTACATTGGGCCCCAAACTCTGTAAACATTACCTACATTGGGTTATTTGGATCCCTAGGGTTAATTATTGGGTACGTGCACGCTCTGGATTATAGAACCCCGAAGTCACACATGCCTATACAGGGTCCGTTTAGGGTTTAGGGTTTAGGGTTTAGGGGTGCCGCCGTCCTAAGAAGCCCCTTTGCCCAAAAGTAACGATCTATCTCTTTGTATGGGAGTTTCCCCGAATTAGGGGTACCATTTTGGAGGTCCACAGAATAAGGGCCATAATGTATTGGGATCTATTTTGGGGTCCCATTTTTAGGGAAAGTGCCATATATATATATATATAAATGCAGACGTATGCGTACTTATCTGTTTTTTTTGTGTTTATAGAAGGACCTCATCATAACCTCCTTTAAGGGCTTAAACATCCCCGCAAGCACTGGAAAGGCCTATGTATGTGTGTATATATATATATACATATTCCCGTGAAACACCTTTGTAAGGCCTAGATGTACCCATAGTCCTGTAAAAGCACCCCTTTTAACGAACCCTAAAAACTAAAGCCCGAGCTCTACCTGTAACCCCAATAACCTACAGTGTTCAGTGTTATGCCCACTAAGTATGGGAAATTCCTGATTTTCAAAGTGTACTTAAATGGGGTTATGGATCAACCCTATGGGACCCCCTAAACCCTGAACCTTAGGGGTACTTGGAAATAATGTTTACTTTTTTGCTTATTATAATCCGTAGGAACAGCAGAAATTCTAATTTTTACTAGCTTTCCGAGTTCCCCATAGAAACCCCAGACTGCATAGATGCAGCCAAGGCGCATTGCTAGACATCCTTGGTTCGACATTGCTGTGATGGTTGCATCTCGGAGTCCATGTGATCCTCCATTATTGGGGCACCCCCTAGAGGGTTAGGGTTTAGGGTTTAGGGCTTAGGATCTTCATCCTTTTTGTGGTTTGTGTGCAGAATTCAGAGCCCTTGTGGCTATATTTGACAAGGAAGTTTGTGAGTAGTTAGGGTTTAGGAGGTTGCGAGTTTAGGGTTTAGTGGATTAGGAGTATAGGGCTTAGGGTTGTGAGTGGCGAGCTAAACCCGTCACTCGGGTTTTGAGCAAGTGTAAGCATGGTCATCCCGGTCTCCTGCTTCTCAAGAAAAACTCCATAAAGTCATGTGGTCCTGCAGCCAAGAGACGACATCCTTCGGAGCTCACGTACATCCCTTCCTACGACCGTTTGAAAAATTCCACATAGCTTGCTTTTGCCTGTAGAAGGGACATGGAACATTTACGGAATGGGGGAAGGCGTTGTTATAGCGTAACAGGAAGTATCCCAAAGAGTCCACGTGCCAAGATAGTGTATACCTTGGACCCAGAGACGTTCTTATACAAGTCAGTTGGGGCCTAAGCATATACTACATGTGTACTTGAACCTTGTGTGTGTGATAGGCATTACCATAGGGACTATGAAGGACTACTAGAGGGATCCATTCACCCATCTACTTTCCAAAAGCACATGACTAGGAGGCTTGTTGTGACCGCTGCTCTCTTAGCCCTTCTAATCTCCTGCAGCAACTACCCAGACCCTCTAAAGGATCCAAAAATAGAACCCCCCCAAATATGAACCCATTACTACATTGGGGAAACGAAGGGATTATTAGGGGGTTCCATTTTTTGGATCCTAAACCCTAAACCCCATATACCCCTATATGGACCCCTATAGCCCCTTTTAAGGGGTTCCATTTTTGGGATCCTTTTGGGGGGTCTGGGTAGGCTACATCCACCAACTTCCATGGAGTCTACACCCAAAACAGCGGTTTAGGGTGTAGGGTTTAGGGTTTAGGGTGCCCAGAAGAGTGCGTCTGACTCCAAGAATAATGAGCTTCGTGAAAGCGTCTTTGGGAGTCCTACCTGTGACCCGATTACCTGGAGTTTTATGGGTAATACCTACTAATTAGGGGGTAATTCCTATTAAGCTGTAGGTAATTGGAGTTACAGGTACCTCCCCAGAGGTAACCTACGTCAGTCAGTCTTTAGGCACACTGTGATCCCAGGGGATCTTTCTGAATTGTATCTGGCTTGGTATCGATGCCGCCTGGAATGATTCCGATGTGCTCATTGAGACGGACCCAATTTTCTTGGTGATTGCCGCTCAGCTGACTTTGACAACAGACCCGAGGTTACTGTAAACCGTAAACCCTTATCCGTGCAATTCCGAAACAGAGTACAGCACGGCGACTTGTAGAGCATTGTGCAGGAAGCATCCGATGTAGATGGCTTCGGGATACTAATCCAGAAGGTTTCATGTACCCAGATACAAAAAAAATGCACAACTTTACTACAAGTCCATTGCCGAAATTCCAAATCCCCAGTTGGCCTAATTATTGCTTACTTGGACCACCCCACCACTCATAAGCCCAATATAACCCCTATATAATCCCTATACATCCCTTTAAAGGGACCTAGGGTTTCCATTTTCTTTTCCTTTATCCCCATATAAGCCGAAAACCTACAGCCCCACAGTCAGGGCTCCTTGTGGGAAACCGCAGCTACACCCCCTGAACTCTGTCAAACGAAGGACCCTCTGATATTCAGGATTCAGGGCTTAACCGGTTGGATTGCTTGTTTGGGTTTTTAAGGGTTACGAGTTAGAATCCGGAGTCGAGCGTGTGCGGGGGTGGTTGCTGGCTCGGAACAATGGTGATCGCAGCACAGCACTAACAGCGAACGCGAAGAATGGCTGTTCCACCAGCACCTTTAGCTGCCGATCTATGGAATGAATCACTGGAATGCATGCGCAATCGAGCGTGAGGGTGATGATCACAAGAATACCCCAGAAGCCCATATGCCTAAATAGTAGGTTCTTAAGTTGTTGGTGATATAGCTGTATATAACCCTAAGGGTCCAAGTACCTAATAATCATATACTTACCCAAAATCTGTACTACAATTACTATTTACCCAAATCCCAAGTACCTAATTATTGGGTACATGGACCCTCTGGGTTAGTTGTAGGTGATATAGCTGTATATAAGACACTGGCCCAGTAGGGAATGGGGCTAGTGATACTCCATATGACTCAATTCGGCTTAAGCCTCGAGCCGCGCTAACAACCCTAAACCTCATATAGGGTTTAGGGTTTAGGGTTTAGAGTTTAGGGTTTAGGGTTTAGGGTTTAAGGTTTAGGGTTTAGGGTTTAGGGTTTAGGGTCTATGTACCTAATAATCAGGTACTTGGGTTTTGGGTACAGTGACAGCGCTGCTTAAGAAATAGCTACCCTCAGATGAGGGTACCCTCGATTTTTTGTTTCTTATGAGGCCTACTGTATTTTTATCAAAAATATTCTAGTTCACTTTGAGGGTACCCTCGATTTCTCAATATAAATTTCTTGTAATTCGGGAAAATATGATAGACATGACGCATTTCAAACAAAAACCAAATTAAGAAATTGAGGGGCTCAATTTCTTAAATTTACGAAATTGAGGGCTCAATTTCGTAATTTGGCCGTTTTTTAGTAGGATTAGAATTGAATAGATCTGGTGAGGCGCTGGGCGATTCTGGGAGTTTTTGGGAAGGTCGGGGAGAAAATGACGCATAGAGGAATTGATACCATCACCTGCAGCATCTGTAATAGTAATTGTAGTATTGGTTATGGGGTAAGTATATGATTATTAGGTACTTGGACCCTTAGGGTTATAGGGATATTATACCCCAATAGTGGAGAATGAAGTGGAAAAGAAAATGGAACATGAAATGGACACTAGGGTTTATATACGGGTTATATCTTCATGATTCCCAATCTGTTCAAACTGTCAGATCCACTCAAGAGACCCCCGCCCCTATTGCTCAAACAGTCTCCGCAAAGTACACGAAAAAAGTGCATGACAATGCTTGACAACCTACCTGGAGGTTTATTGGTAGTTATGAGCAGGGTTGTAAGTACCCTAGCTTGCGTATGAACTGGTTACCAGTATGCTTGTCCTAGATATTACCCCAGTTCTTCACCCTACTAAAACCCTTCACCCTATAATTATTCATGAACTCGACACCCTAAATAATAACTCCGGGTAAGTGATGGAACGCGCCGTGGCGCCTTGAAACCAACTCTTGGTCTCCTTCGTTCATCATTAGTAGGCATAGCCCACAAATTTGTAGGTAATTTGGGTTACAAGTCGGTTTGGGGCGGGGCAAAGGTAGAAGGGCTAGCTTTCCAAATGATTAGCTTTCACAACCCTAAGGGTCCCCGTGCCCCAAGACCGTCTACTCCTCTATCAGCTATCCCTATGCTTGACAGCGCCAAATCCAAGGTGCACCATACACGGTTACATGGCCTCCACCCAGAACCCTCAACCCTAACCAACCCCCCCCCCCCCTGCGCATCCATTCTGCAAACCCTAAGCCGGTAGTGGGAACCCTAAGCCCTTACACTCCCTGTGCTATAGTATATTAGAGTATATTCTAGTAGACTAATTATAGTATATTACAGTCTACTATAATACAACCCTTAGGAGAATCTCTTTTGCCTTTTCTTCGTCCTGGAGCTTTCGATCCGCTTTGGCGCTTACAAGCGGAGACTCAGATGTTGAATGTTGCCCTAAGGGTCCAAGGTCCTAATAATCATATACTTACCC